TTATCGAAACGTATGATTTATGACGATTTCGAGACCGAAGCGAACAAAACAATTTTGTAGGATTGCGAATCAAGCATTTTATTTCCCTTTCTACTATCCCCTTCTCTCTCATCTTCAATGGGATGAGAGAGTACTTCCTGAGAGGTAGGATTACGATCTGAAGGATCCTGTTTTCATAAATTGTATGGTATTACGAAATTCACGGAACTTCTCGTCCTCTAATTCAGTCTTTTTTCTCTCTCTCTCTCTCTCTCTCTCTCTCTCTCTCTCTCTCTTTTACTTCTCTTTTCTTTCTTTTTCCTCACTTTTTTTTTCTTTGTTTTTTTTTAAACTTCAAATTCAATGAAAATCAATACTTTCCTCTTTATCTGACTCTCGTTCTCATTAAAAATTACTTTAAATCATTTCTAACATGTAATATACATATATATAATAATATATATATAATAATAATTCGTTCGTTTTAATGATAAATATAATTCTTGTTTCGTTTTTTTTTTTTTTTTTTTTCTTTCGTACCGATTTCTTTTTATACTCTTTTGTCTTCTATCTCTTTTTTCTCTCTCTTTTATTTTTCCCCTTCAATTTTTATATTGCTCCTTTACTTACGTAAAAAAAGATCAATGGGGGGGGGATAGGGGGAGGAAAGAGGAAAAGGACAAAGAAAAAAAAAAGAAGAAGAAGAAGAAGAAAAAAAAGAAAAACGGTCCATCATCTTTCCAATGGCTGAAGAGGGAATGAGTTTCAACGTAACAACATGAAACTTCCGCGCGAAAAGTTTCGGTATAATTTGGCGAGTTTAAATAAATTTTTTCTTTTTCCACAATCCTCTTTCTTCCTTCATCCTTTTTCTCTATGCGGCCATCTGAGTGTTCTCGATCTCGACCTCGTTGAATCGACTACTACTACTACTACTACTACTACTACTAGTAATACTACTAATAATACTACTACTACTTTCTTCCTTCCTTTCTTTCTTCGTTTTTATTTTTTGTCATTTCTTTCCTTCCTTCTTTTTCTCTTTCCTCTTTCTCTCCTTCCTTTTTCTTTTTTTTCTTTTCGTTTCTTTTTTCTTTTTTTTTTTTTTTTCTTTTTTTTATCTCTTTTTCCTTTCCTCCTTTTTGCGCTTTAGTTTTCGTAACTCTTCTCAACTGCAAGGGACCACGGCATTGTTCGCAACTTCCAACCCCCAACCCTCCACCACTCTCCCACGCCCCATCCCATCCCCTCTACCCCACGAAAGCTTAAAAACAATCGAGAAGGACGAAGCGACACGAGAAGAGAGACCAACACGAGAGATTTCCCAAAGAATTTTACACGTTGTTCTTCCAACTGGAAATAATTTTATTTATTGTCATTATTTCGTCGTTGTTATTGTAGTTGTTGCTATTTTTAATTAATGAAATTTTCTGTCCTCCTCATTCCATCTCTCTCTCTCTCACTCTCTCTCTCTCTCTCTCTCTCTTTTTATTTCTTATTTCATTTAATCACGAGAAAATTATTTTGCTAGTTCGTATAAGAAGTTTTCAATATTTATTTATTTTTTTTTTTTCTAGTAAATTATACTCGATATAATAATAATAATAATAATAATAATAATAATAATAATAATAATAATATTAATAATAATAATAATAGATTCACCTTAAATACGATCATAAGATTGAAAATAAGATTGTAAAATTGAAAAGAAAGGAAGCAATGTAATTAAAAAAAAAAGAGCGATCCTAACTCGTAGAGCTTAAAAAAAAAGTTTCGAGGAAAGGAGAGGATTATTTTCTTTTTCTTTTTTTTTCTTCTTTCTTTTTTTTTAAATCGCTTAAAAAACTTTTCGTCCAATCTTTTTGTCAATCTTATATATGTTCCTTTGATTATCATTTATCACGTTCGACGATATTTTATTTGAAATTTAATTAATTTAAACGCAACATCAAGTTCATAGTTTAATGGAAATAAGACGTAAATTAAATTTAATTTTATTTGTTTAATTCGATCTATAATAGATTTAAAAACAATTTAATTCTTTTGTTAAAGTTTCTCTCTCTCTCTCTCTCTCTCTCTCTCTCTCTCTCTTCCTTCTCCTTTTCCTGCACCACCACCTTCATTTCTTCCTCTTCCCATTCTCTTCCACTTAGTCCTTCTTCTCTTAGTCTCTCTCTCTCTCTCTCTCTCTCTCTCTCTCTCTCTCTTTCTCGTTGAAGTTGTCTCTACGTAATGTTGTCCCTTAATTACTGGACGGATACATTGCGGACGTGTAGCATCTCGCTCGCCAAATGTCGTACACGTACAAACTAGACTTTACATCGGGGGTGGGGGGGGGAGGGCCGGAGGGAAGGGGAGAGAGGGTTGAGTCAATCTTCTCGTAACATCCCCTTACGTAACAGTCAGCCCCATGTCGTCGACAGAATTCTCGTGTTAGTGTTCACGACAGTGTGACGTCAGACCGTCAAGCAAATACAACACGAAGAAAATTGAGCTATCATAAAATATAACGTCTTTCTGTCTCGATTCTTTTATCAGCATATAATAATAACGAAAGATAAATGATATTGTTTATAATACAAAAAACAAAAAAAAAAAAAATATAAAAAGAAATATTATAATACTTTATCGAATAGTAATTTTCTACAAATTAATTGTATATATTTATAATATGCGACAATATGTCAAATCGATTAATATCATAAAACTCATAATGGAAAAATATCGAAATTAATGATGAAATAATATAAATTATTTTTTTTTAATTATCTTTAAAATATAAAATTCAAATAAACATTGTAGAATGTTAACGAAGGACTTGCCTTTATACGTTTGCTAATGCTGTCGCGCATTTGAATTGTATTATTATTGAAAATGATTTAAATTTAAGTACGCATTAAAATCAGATTGTTTTCTGAAATAAATTCTTTTCTCTTTTTTTTTTTTTTTTTTTTTCTTTTTTTCGATGGCCAAACAAATTCTGTCATTTCAATCATATTAAATAAATGCAAATTGGAGAAATTCATTATGAATTTGAAAAAGTATGGACTTCTATTGAGTCGCTTTAACAATTAAATTTTTTTTTCATTCAAAAAATGGATTCAATCGATTTGGCATCTGACCGGCTCATATATATATATATATATATATATATATATATATATATATATATGTATATATATATATAAAAATTATAATAATTATTAATAACTTTTATAAGAATTATTGATAATATATATGTATATATATTTAATGTCAACTGGTTCTCTTAAACTGTACTTCGCATACGTCAAAATGACGTATTTTTTTCTTTTTTTTAGATTATCATCAGAACAAAAATATGACGCTTATCACAGTACAATTATCGATCATTGTAATCACGATAGGATACATTTCACTCACACATACGTGCACACACACACACATACACACACCAATATTTCTTCGAAAAAAAGAGTACCATTTAACACCATTCAATACCAATACAATCGATTGATGCAACGTTAAAGAATATTTCAAAAAAAAAAAAAAACAATACAAATAATAAAATAAATAAATAAATAAATAAATAAATAAATAAATAAATAGATAAATAAATAAATAGATAAATAAATAAAATCGATGAAAAATAAGTCGTTTGTAATAGTCCAATGATTAATATTATCAAGAAAATCCTTATCCTAAAGCGATGATGCTTCTATAAATTGGGGGATGAAAGAAAAAGATAGAAGAAGAAGAAAAAGAAGAAGAAGAAGAAAAAAATCTTAGCGATATACGTAGGAAAGGAATGATATTTGAAATGATCGATGAAGAAAATAAAATTGAAAGTAGAGATATAACTTCGCGTTGGGAACGTCTATGAAACGATATCTCTCCATTGCAAGGAGGAGCTTATAAACCGTTCGAAAACGTTCGCGATTGGAGTTGGAAACTCGTTCGAACCTGAGGCAAGCAAGCTTGGTTGGTATAGAGAGAAAGAGAAAGAGAGAGAGAGAAAAAGAGAGAGAGAGAGAGAGAGAGAGAGAGAGATGCACATACACACACACACACATATATATACATAAATAGATGGATAGATAGAAGTATGTATGTAATACACGCACGCTTATATAAACTCGATAGGAGTTTAGCTACTCCGAAACTTCGTGTGTCTCGGACGTATGAATTATTGCTCACGGCATATATAGAGGCAATACTGCACCCCTAAATGCCACCCTAACATCTCTCTCTCTCTCTCTCTCTCTTTCTCTCTCAATCTCTCGTTCACTCTCTCTATTACTACTACTAGCTTGTAACTTTGCAATCTCCGTTTTCTCAGTATTCTCGTACATTCTAGAGTATCGTTGGATCGTACTCGGTAATAGCTCGAGTTCGAACGATAGGCAAAATAAACGATCACTTCAACGAGACATCTTGCATACGTCTCTTCCTATCTCTCTCTTACTCTCTGTCTCTCTCTCTCTCTCTCTCTCTCTCTCTCTCTCTCTCTCTCTTTCTCTGTTCTTAGTTTACATACAGGATACATGTACATGGTACATATACAATTAACATTTAAGTTATTTTCTTCGATTGGAAATAGAGTGTGAAATTATGATCGATTATGATCATGAAAATAATCAAAGGATATTATAAATATTATTATCTACTATTATATGTAATTATAGAATTTTTCTATATACTTACGACATACAATATATCTCATTTTATTTTTATCTATTTATGATAAATATTTATCCTTCTATATTGTAATAAATATTTGTACGTTCTTACAAGAGAGCACATAGTGCATATATTTTAAAGATCATTTCATTATCTTGTTTGTAGTAATAACATTATACGTATATTGTATATATTACTTCTTGTTGTAAACATAATAGTCATATGTTTTAAACATCATTTTCAAACTTGAACGTCTTTGCAAACAAAGTTTTACATATTTCCACACACACACACACACATACACATATATATATATATATACACACAAATATGTAGTATATATATTTTAGTGAACTTACCTGGATACTCTATGCTGTGCTATCCTACCATGGCTTGGTAATGTTACGTTACTGTCGCTTTTTGACCAGGTCACGGAGTTTTTGGCATCAGGAAGTTCCACTTTACCGAGATAAGCTTCGCAGAAGAGTCTCGCTGAGCCACCCAAAGGAACCAATTGCGATGCCGGCCTGTAAGTGGGCAATGGCTTTCCCGTGTAACCACCTGACTCTTCTCCTGAAAGCAAACGAGAAGAGGATGCAAACACGGTAAGAGGAGTAACTGAGACTTATCTAGCTACTGAAGTAACCAGAGAGAGAAGGGAAATATGCTTTAAAGTGATTCGACTACTCGTGAATTAAGAAACGACTATTACGTCGACTACGACGACGACTATAACTACGACTACGATGACAAAGACGACGACGACGACGACGACGACGACGACGACGACGACGACGACGACGACGAAGAGTACTCGATAGTTCGTCGTTTAATTTACATTTTACTATTTTACTCTATCTCTCTCTCTCTCTCTCTCTCTCTCTCTCTCTCTCTTTCTCTCTATTTATTTTTTTTTTCTTTTTTCTTTCCCCCCCCCCCCCCTTTTAAAAACAACAATTTCATTTGAACAATTTATAAGCCGATAAATAAAAATAAACGAAGAAAATGAGAAAAGTAAGTGGAAGAAAAAGGGGAAGGGGGAAGAAAAAAAAAAAAAAAAAGAAAGAAAGAAAGAACAAGCTCGTTCTCGCATTCCCATGAAATATTTCACAATTTATTATCATCTTTCCGACGTTATTCGTTCTTTCAATGTCACATACATTTTTTCTGTATTCTTTTTGTAAAACATACACCCCTTCCTCCCCTTCCCCCCCCCCCACCCATCCCATCCCATCCCATACTTATAACATGAGTATTATTATTATTATAACCCATATCACGATCTCTTTTTCATTTATCAATCATATCAATGCTTTGTCGGCTGTTTCATACGTTGAAATTTCATTCGACAGAATGTTCAGAGATTTGCATCGTTTCAACCCCCCCCCCCCAAACCCCCACCCCAACCCTCCACTCCTACCCGAAGAATATAGGATTCGTTCTAATGAAATTCTGATGCGATTAACTATTTAAAAAGCTATCGGAATCGATTTTCGTAATGCTTCGATTAAATCGAAAGGATTTAATGTAGGAGAAACGGAATTTACGGATATATAATAACGACGTGAGCGTTCGAGCGAGAATTATGTGATCTTCGATTTGATCTCGTTTGAAAGTTGGTAACGAAAAAATATAAAAAGATAGATAGATAGAGAGAGAGAGAGAGAGAGAGAGAGATAAATAGAAAAAAAATATACGAATTTAAAAAGAGATAATCAAATGGCTATTGGACAATGTGATAAATTTTTTCAAATACGCAAAAGCATGTGTACGAATTTTATCCAATTATAATCCTATACGTTCGTTCTTTCTCTTTTATGGATATTAAAGAAAAAAAAAAAAAAAAAAAAAAAAAAAAGAAAAATGGAAAAATAAAAAAAAAGTGAAAGAAAAAGCAAAAACAAGCAAAGAAAAATAAGAAAAATTGTATATTACATTCTCGTCTATATGACGGAGATATTGTAAATATTCGAAAACGAGATGACAGTGAAAGATGTATTAACAATAAAAAAAAAAAAAAAAAGAAAAAAAAAATAAATAAATAAATAAATATTAGGTGGATCGGAAAGTAATGTCGTTTCCTTAAATTAAATTCAAACGAATAAATTTTTAACAATTTTTAACAATTTTTAACAATCAAATATCGACATGCGCAGAAACGACATTACTTTACGGTCCACCTAATAAAAGTAAAAAAAAAAAAAAAAAAAAAAAAAGAAGAAAAAAAAATCGTTGAGAAGAAAACCATGCCAAAAAAAAATAAAAGTAAGAATAAAAGAAAATCGTGTTCGGACGTTACGTTAGAAGAAAAAAAAAAAAGAAAAGCAAGAAGAAAGGATAAAGTAAGAAAAAAAAAAAAAAGAAAAAAGTGAGCAGAGTCATACAATTCATCTAAATATTAGTTTCAGAATTAAAATCGATAGATCGAGATTTTTTCTTTTTTTTGTTTTGTTCGGTTTTTTTTTTAACTTATATCGTTACACAATAAATTTAATAGCTCGATATAATCATAGATGGATTTTTCATTAATGGTTAATGTGAATTTTCGAATAGATTAGGGATACGAACACGACACGACGGTTTATTGGAATATTTTGGTAACGCTCATAGCCCAAACGTTTCGAAACTATTCGCGCAGCTAAATATTGGAATATTTGAGAGCGAACGTGGATGGAGAGAAACCCTTTACTGTCTACGAATTTTCGCGGTTTTAACGAAGATTAAATCGGTGCCATAGAATTTGGCATCGAGGAGATTCCTGGATTAGATTGTTCAAGTTAGAATTTCTCTATCTATCTCTCTCTCTCTCTCTTCCTCTCTCTCTCTCTCTCTCTCTCTGTCTTTCGTAGTTCTAAATAACATTTGAATCAATTTTTAATTCTTCAACGAGAGATCGTATTATAACTTATGAATTATTAATTAACAAATTGATAACTTGTGATTCTACAATTTTCTTTTTTATTATCAGAATAATATCGAAATAGAGTTTTATCTAAAAATTTTCAACGCATAGAAAAAGAAGAAGAAGAGGAAGAAGAAGAAGAGGAACGGAAAAGAGAAAAACGTAAGCAAAAGAATAAAAAAAAAAAAAAAAAAAAAAAAAATTTTAGAATATTCGACATTAATGGTATTAAAACTTGTTCGTTAACATTATAATCATTAACTCGTTAATTATCAGATATTGCGCGTTGATAAAGACTGTGCTTTAATTGCAACGAGAATGAAAGGAAAAAAAATGATAAAAAAAAATTAGAAAAAGAAAAAAAAAAAAAAATAAAGAAAAAAGAAAAAAACGTGCGGTATTATTATCAGTTTCAACTATCAATCGTTTGATAATCGATTTCGTTCGTGTATTAAAAAATTTTGATCGTATCGCGTAAGAATCGCTTTCTCTTTTCTGTTTTCTTTTTTCTACTGTCTTTGGAATAGACGTTAATCGTAATCACGTTTAGAATACACGTCTCGAGAAAGCAGGGACGCGTTTTCTTAAACGTGGCACGTGGCACGTAGAGTCACGCGTACACGAAACCCCTTCAGCGACATTTAACCCTAAATGCTTGGTGCCAAGGCACGTGCACTCCTAGTACCTCTTTCAATTCACAAGAGACCACACGATTGCTCGTTTCCTACTACGACTTAAACATAACAAATACATGTCTATATCACGTAGCGAAAGAATTCTACGAAAGGATTGTGATTTGTATTTTTTATACATCGATCTGTCGCATTAGTTTTACAAATTTTGATTCATTTAACATTTCATTTACGATCTTAACAAATTATCACACACACACACACACACACACACACACACACACACACACACACACACACACACACACACACACACACACACACATATATATATATTACGTGTATAAATTATATTTAAATTATTTAATATAAAATAATATATATATATATATTTTTTTTATATATCGATCTGCCGTATTAGTTTCATAAATTTTTATTCATTTAACATTTCATTTACTATCTTAAAAAATTATATTTACAATTATTTAATATAAAATAAAAAAAAAATATATATATATATAGATATCTATATGTATATTTTAAGTTCGTTTAAAATTTCGTAAGATAATATATTTTTCGGGTCATATAATTTTTATGAATTTTATTATATATTTAATTTCGTTAGAAAAATTTTGCGAAAGATCGTACATTTGTATGAATATTATTTTCGTATAATTTTTTTTTCTTTTTGTTTTTTTTTCCATAAAATTTATCATTCCAACGTTACAAGAATATATAGAATTTCTATTTTGCAAAATATACGAACGATATTTTGTCTAATAATAAGAAATGAAACGAAAAACATATACGTGATAAATGAAATTAATATTTTATTTTTCATTTGTTTATTTATTTATTTATTTATTTATTTATTTTTTCTATATTTTCTTAACGACGATTAAAAACGACGTCACAGACGTATTTTAAATGAATGGCAATACTATGTCTCTTAGGAACACGATAGTAAGTAGAGGTAACATGATAGAAAATCATCGAGGCGTTCTATCTAACGGGTGTGGAATAGAAACAACGCAACAAAGTTGAAGAGCTTTCTACTCGATTATCGATTTTTGACATTTGTCTTACTTATCTACATAATATATATACATATATATGTATATGTATATGTATGTACACATACATATACATATATATATATATATATATATATATATATATATATATATGTACATTGTAGAAGTGAAACGTTAAAGATGCATACTCGATCCTACGTTAATGTATGCGAGAATCCGTCAGATGCATCGTGTATTTTCTTCGTGGAAGTAAATACATCGTACTAAACTTCAAAGTTGAAAATACTTTTCAGGATAAAACACCCGTTAGATCATTCCGGATAGACTTTGAGTTCGGTCCTCGTTAAATATAAATTACTACTTAAGTATAGGCATGTATACATATATATATATATATATATATATATATATATATATATATATATATATATATATATATATATATATATATATATATATATATATATATATATATATATATATATATAGATATATATATATGCATACGTATGTATATATGTATGTAGATAGATATGTATATACATATGTACGTAAGATCGATTTTCTAACAAAATCAAAGTTTTATAAACTTGACGAGAGTTTCATACTTGACGATATTCAAACGAGATGAACACTTAATTAAGAAACATTCTTTATGAGACTAAAAGAAGAAAGAGAGAGAGATAGAGAGAGAGAGATAGAGAGAGAGATAGAGAGAGAGAGAGAGAGAGAGAGAAAGAAAACATCGAAAAAATTTCTAGTCAAATTTTGTAAGAAAAATTCAAAGTTAC